TTAACCAAAGGTAAGTATGCAATCTCTTTATATAAACATAAAAACTAATATGCGCCTTCGGCGCTAGTTTTAAAAATTGACACTTACTCAGGGGAGGGAGAGATGTTGTATGGTACAAAAACAAAACAAAAAATTAAAGCTGCAGAGTAGATTTTTTGGGTCCAAGTTTTAAGGCTGAATATGTACCCGCTGATGTACTGGTATATTACTGTGGAATACTTTATTTTCGCTGGAATTAATTTTCGCTTAAAAGGCTTTTTGGGCGTTTTGTGTGGAATTTATTTTTACTGATTTTTGATGAGTTTGATGTGAAATATAGGAAAAAAAGTATATTCGCTGGATTTTATTTGCACGGAAACATTCCTTCAGCGAAAATAAATTCCAAGAGAAAATAAAGTATTCTACAGTATTTATGAGACATGAATTACCACACATTCCTTGAATAAAACAACTCAAATATTGCCACCATGCTTTATTATTCAGCAGTACGGTACTCAAATTGTTTTAAAAAAATTGAAACATCAGTTGTTTTTCCCATGTACATAAAATATGTCAAAATATGTGAGTGGTAATATTTGTGGGTGTAATACATAGGTGTAATTACAATTAATACTTTCTTAGATATCTTGAATGGCCCTCTCATTTATTCATTCTTGTATATTATTACAGATTGGTTTTTCAGCTACAGATGCTGTAACAGGATTAAAATTGATAGAAGCAGGGGTACCTAAAGAACAATTAGCATTACTTGCTATACCATTGGTACCATTGCAAATAATATTACCCTGGCTTATCAGTAAATATACCACAGGACCCAGACCACTAAATATATTCATAAAGGCTATTCCATACAGGTAAAATGTAACATTATTATCATAGTTATACCAATCATATCGTTAAAAATATTATCACCCTGGATTATCATTAATTACTGTAAAACATGTTGAAAAAGCGACATGCAATTTTAGCGAATTGTGGTAAAATGATGTAATAGCAAAATGTTGATTTAGCGAATCTCTCTTGTCATTGTTGATTTCCTGTTTTCACAATACATGTCTGTCGCAGTTATCACCTCCATAAGGGAACTGATCATTACCACCAAGCCGGTTTCCTGTGAGTCTCCTGCGGCATGCGTTGCTTTACCGTACCGGTCGTTGCTTTACCGTACCGGCCGCTGCTTTACCGTACCGGCCGTTGCTTTACCCATGGAACTATAAAGGGGTTTATAGTTCCATGCTTTACCGTACCGGCCGCTGCTTT